GCAAAAGCCCCAGCCTTAAAATCCCACTCATGCTATGCTGTAAAAAAGAAACAACGAAGAAGAAAGTGTCTAACAAAACACCAACTGAAAGATAAGAATTTTGTCTTAGCTCAAAGCCCAAGGTTTTCCTGGTTTTTCTTTTGTATTGATGGAGAAGAATTGGCCAAGTCATAGTATGATATAAATAGTTTGCCAAAATAGTACCCACAATTCAAGGTCTATTTCCCTTAGAAAATAATAATAAATATAAGTTAAAATCTAGCCACCAGCTAGTTCTGAACAGAAGCTTGAGAGCTTGTGGCTTACACTAAAGTGACTCCATCTCACAGCTCTGACTGTCAATGAACCAGTCAAGCATTATATGTGATTGGGGTTCAGTACATTGCTGATACACTGAATGAGAACAAAGTATTACAATGAAACCATGACAGAGATTCTGCCATTTCCTGAAATGACTGCATAGGTCATAGTTATGCACCTGCTGTAATCCCTGAGCAGGCAACCTTTGATTCTGATGCCACAAGAAGAAATCCACACCCTCCCCACCTGTCTAATCACCTGAAATGTTCTTCATCCTTTCTTCCTCATTTACTTTCTTAGCCCACTACTCTTCTTTTGTTGTTGTTTTTTGTTTTTTGTTTTTTGAGACAAGATCTCACTGTACAGTTCAGGCTGGCCTTGAATTCACTGTGTAGCCTAGGCTGGCCTCAAATTTATGCCAACTCCTTATGGAACTCGTGCCTCTGCCTCCCCAGTGCTGGGATTACTGGCAAGCGCCACCATGCCCGGCTAGCCCATTACTCTTCTCTCAATTAATTTTTGTCTTCTTGCATGTTCTCTCATCCTCCTATACCTAAGACCCAATAATGATAATCATTCATACTGCAAGCATTGCTTAAATGAATTTTTCAGATCACGGAAGCATACACCTTTAAAAGCTAAAATATATTTTTGTACTTTTCAAACCAATTTGGTTGGGAGTTTTAAAATGTGCCATTTGTTCCCTTTACTTCTTAACAGAGTATACACCATATAACTGAAAACATTCTTGATCATGCAGGCTCATCAATGTAAACATCTCCTCAGGCACTTTTGAGAAGCCTAGAACTCTTTTCCCTATACTACACAGACCCAGTTCACTAAATATTACTATTTCATTTTCTATCTCATTTTTATAGTTCCACATTCCTCTCACTGCTAGGCAAAGCTTTTACTTTTTTTTTTTGGGGTACCGGGGATCAAACTCGGGTCCTTGCGCCTGTGCAGCAGGCGGCAAAACCACTGAGCTAAATCCCCGGCCTGAGCTTTTACTTTTTATCGCTGTCAATATATGTAACTTTTGCCTCTTCCTCACCCACTCTAATCTGCTGTGGGTCAGGTAGCCAGACAGGCAAACTTGTGTGAACCTTGTGTGAGAAAAGGTTTTCCTGATATAGGACCGCAGATCTCTGAGTAAAGAAAGGCCTAGGGTCTGTTCTAGGAATAAAGTTCATTGGATTCACGGCAACCATTTTAGGAGCTCAGAGATCCTATTTTACTTAATCCTGGGCTTGGGATCATGTAAGTGATAAGTGAAGATAAGGAATCAGACAGAAATTTGACATCTGGATATTTGAGTAGTGCTGTCATTTATATTAATATAGAAATATTGTTTCCAGGACAGTTTGTATTTAGGTAGCACCACACTGGTGCAGTTATTATCATTCTGCATTTAAACTGCAACAAAAAATGAGACAGAAAAGGGAAAAATGTTGGCTTTTGGAAGTTAGAGATCATCATCCTACTGGAACTTCCTCAGATCTGTCTTGTGTGCTACCTTTGTCTTAGGGCACTCATTTGCCATAAACTAAGTGATTCAGCACTATCATCACACACTCACCCTGTAATTCTCCCTTCCAAGACTGACACCATTAACTATGCCATTGTTTCAGTATTTTTATTCTAATAAGAGTAAGTACTGTCTTTATTCAATTATCATACATTCCTTTAAAAATAATATTGTTTCAGTGCTTTTTGCTTTCCTACTGTTGAAAATACTAACAAATCATATTGGTGATTGCCCCCCCACGGTGTTTTATTATAGTTATTTTCTTCCATTTGAAAACAAATCTTATTGAATACATTCCTTATATATAGAATATATATATATATATAAAATGATGCTATAGGTACATGTAGATAGTAAAAGGGTAATTATCAAGAAGCAAATTAACATATCGCCATTTCACAGTTACCCATTTTATTTTGTGGCAAGGGAAGCTAAAATCAATTCATTAAGCAGGAGTCTTACATACGGTACAATTTTATTACCTATAGTCTTCATGATGCACATTAGATCTCTTTTCAGTTTCTTAAGGCAAAACCTTTCTGTCATCAATGGTTCTTCCTTCAATTTCCCCTATTAAATCATGCAATTGGTGTGTGTGGTCCATTCTAAGGCCAAGATGTATTTTACTTTCTTCTCACTTGAGCCTGCCAGAATTCTAATCCATGGCTCTTGCAAACTTCTATTTTCCAAACATCTCTCTCTCCTCCCTCTTCCCCTGTCTATCCCAAAATAATAGAGTAGTGCCATATTCTGTCATTGCTGGGCTTGAAATCCCCATTTTCTGAACATTGTCATTGGTTAGTTCTCAAAATATTTCTTCTTTCCATTTGAATGCTATATTTTCACCTTTAGTTCCTTTTATAGCATTTCTTACCACCCACCTCCTCCTGTTCAGTCTTTATATTAGCACCTCCCAGTTTTATATGCTCCATATAGTTTTGGTGATGCAATCAAAGAAATATGTCAGAATACTCTCTTTTCTCATCTGTCTACTTAAGGGCTCTATCTTAATATCGTCAAGTGCCCTCAAGAAATTTTCTTTTCTAAATGCCTTAGAATTTAGCAATTATATTCTCAATTGAAGTTACTTAACTATTTTCTTTTTTATGTATTCCTCAAAACCTCTAGAAAAAGAATTACCAGATATTTTGTTATTGTTCTCCAAATCCCTCCCCCAACCCTTTTCCTCCTTCCTTGGATTTTAATTGTCAAAAATAGAAGGGCCGAACTTCTGAACATCTAGTATGGAGCTATACACTGAGTTGAACAAATTCCTTCCCCAACTCTGCACAACCCTGTACAACTCCTGGCTTTCTCTCATCAGTTCATCCTTCTACCTCTCCTACAGCTTTCCAATTTAGCCAGTAAATCCCCATTTTATAGTAAATAAACTCCCTTCCTCCTTCAACTCATTCTGAAAGAATTCTCTCTATAAATCTTGGCCTTCCTTAAGCTGGCTGCTGTACTGACTTCTGCAGCTCTCTTGAAAGGACCCATTTCTCATGGCACAAATACCTAGAGTAGGGGAAGGTCCACTTGCTCCTCAGAGCCACTAACAGACCAACAATTTGCCACCGTCCTTTCAGGCCTAGGACCTCTGACTAGACTTCCTAGCCAGCTCCTCATCTTAGTCCAGGTGGCCAACCCATTTAACATACCTGCTTTCCAGGGCCTTGCCCTCCTCATCAGCAATATTCTCTTCCACTCACTTCAGCCACTCAGGCTTTCTAGATTCCACTTCAGACTTTCTCATCACTGGGGACAACTTCCCCTACAACTACCCACCCTGCCTGCTTCTCAAGGCCCTCCTCCTAGTTAGCTGGCTCCATGACCCTAGAAAGCATGCCAATCCTTCAATCCTCCCCTTTCTGCCTGTTGAGTGGTTCATCCTGACCTCTCTTCCTTGACTAAGCAGTTTGATTTCTGTGGCTGATGTCCAGAATTGCTTTCTAACAGCAAATCTTTGCCTGAAATTCCTACACCAACTGACTACCTGGACTCTCTCTGACCTCACTCCCTGGTTATCATGCTCTGTGTCCTTGCAGTCCCAACTAAATCTGTTCCTAAACCAGCTTCATTCACCTACTCTTGGTTTGGCCTACCGAATTCTCTTCCAAACTTCCCTTCTGGATGAATAAAAAAAACCAAAACCTTGTGTTTCTATTATAATGTATGGTCTTAAGTTGTTTTTAGATCTGTGTGCTATGTTATCTACCAGACAACTTCATATGAGGTAGAAGTTCAAGATACTATTATAGTTGAAAGACAAATTGAGATTCACGGAGACTATGTGGCTCACTCACTCAAGCTCTCATAGTTTCAAAGAGTAGAACTGATAGGTCATAAAAATCAGAATATATTTTCTCTCAACCTGTCTGAGATACCTATGTTATGCCCAATTATTTGGCATGTTAGAGGTGAGAACGACACCTATAGGCGGACAATAAATACATTAATTAAAAAGAGGTATTCAGAAGACCAGTATTACAAGCTATGACTGTAACGGCAGGGACCTCCTGTTTTCTATAAGAGTTGGTCATTCCAGAAGCAAACATTCAGATTTTAACTTGTGGCTCAGAGAGTAAATAAATCCAACCAAAGAGATGCAGAGAAACTCCACACTGGAGAAGCTGCTTTGTGCCCTCCATGCTGGTTTTCACAATCAAAATGCAAGAAATGAAGAGGATGTTAGCACTGAAAGACCAATGGAGCCCAGAGGTGGTGAATCAAGATAGAGGAAGAGCAATTTGGAACTCTGTAGGAACTCCTTTTATACAAATTAGTGTACACTGAAAGGGAAGACTGGTATGTGACATGTTCCATTCTGAGTAAAATAAAAACAGAGGGCTTCTTTTTCATCCTGCACCACCTAGATATGTGGTAATTACATATTACAAACATGTACAAATAAATACATTTTAAAAATAAAGACAATAAATATAATCAAATATAAACCCTAATGAATATATAGAGAACAATAACATTGAACAAAGACCCTAATTAAATTTTTAAGCAAATTTATGAGATGTATGTAAAAAATTTGAGTTTCTTGGATAAAAACTGTTATTATATGTGTATTTGTATATGTCTTTAACAAAACTAATATTGCTATCTGCCTTAGAATTGCTCTCATCCCTCAAAACTGCAAATTTTTAGCAAAATAATCATTTACCTTATAGAAGATCAAGAAGAGATCATCCAGTTTCCCATGCAAATCACCTAGAAGGCAAGTAAAAAAAAAAAATCACTATCCAAAAGGAAGGAAGATGCAATGCCTAGTTTGTTACAGAATTTTCAAACTCAAAAACTCCAAGTATTCTCAGGGCATTCAGTTTTTACCCTAAGGTGATATTAATTCAGCAGGTAATTTACTTTCATGGCACTCTTTTCTTCTGCTCGTATAGTGGGGAAGGTATCTGGTACTGTCATTACCTGCTCCCTCCAGCCATTTATACAGGACTTCACTTACTCTGGGCCAAGCACTTGCTAAAGGTTGTATGTATGCTATCTTGTTTACTCCTTATACTTATGAGATGAGTATTATTTTCATCATTCTCATTTTTAAAATTAGACTCAGAGTAATTAGTTACTTGTGTAGTTACTCAGATACTAAATATCAGAGCTGGAATTCAAAGCCAATACTATCTCACTTCAAAACTGAAGCTCTTAGGGTTTACTCTGCCTTGCCTACACCGTAAGTCCTAGGAGAGCCACAGCAGTATCTGTCACTATCAGCATTAAATCACCAAGGGCATAGGCCAGGAAATTGTAGGCACTCAATAAGTGCACTCAGTCACTCAATGCATAGCTTTGAAAAGACATGTTTTAAAGAATATGCTCCAGTAATAGCATCAGAAAGAGTAAAATTGTGTGTAGTTGACATTCTTTTGATGAGACAACTATATACAATAAAAATTTAAGCAAACTAAGGGAAAACATAAGAATATATGAAGCTATTAATTAAAAAATAAATGTAATTACATGAATATTCAAAAGCCCTATTTGGATAAACATTTCTAGGTAAAATATCTGTCTTTCATAAGTTCTGCTCATAAATTTTATTCTTCATATCTAACTTAATCACCATAGAATTGAATTTGGGGATACTTTTCCTCAGTTTGCTTAAAGTCCCAAATAAGATTAATCAAGTATATACAACAAAAGACTCCAATTACAGTGGAAATAATAAAATTAAAATCCTATATCAATAGCACTTATTAATTTAATGACTATAATATTAACAATAAGATTAAGAGCATATTTGTGTTATTAAATGCCTAAATCTCATGTTTTCATATATTTCACTCTAGAGGTAAGGAAATAAAGATGGAAAAACATTTCATTTACCAGTTTAGCTTATTTTGTTAATTATTATACCAATTTTCAGAATGACTTGTCTTTCAAAAATTTGATAATACAAGACCATAATAGCTGGCATGCTAAAAAAATGAACTTCTTCCAGCATATTAAGAATTGAGAGTTCTGGGTTTGATCTTCAGCACAGAAAAAAGACATGCTTGAGGCTATAAACATATTTGTAATTTCTAGTTGGATAGCAAAAGAAAAACTTATACCATGAGAAGACACAAAGATATTTCTACAGCAAGCACAAACATGATTACAGAATTGGTTATCATTTATAACTTAACTTTAGAGTAAAAAAAACTCCATATTTCATTTATGCTGAGAACAATGGTAAATATTTAGATGTGTGCATAAAAATACACTTTGAGATTAAAATAAAATAAATATTTACCATAATGTCTCTCTCTTTACTAACATTTTCTTAAATAGAAGACGATATTGGAAATATAGCCTCAACTTTAAGTTCTATTTTAAATGATGAGAAATTTTTCAAAGTTCAATAGACTATTAAAAACATAAAATTATAGGACACACATGTATAAATATTGAATAGTTTCTCTGGTGTGAGAAACTGAAAGTGTAAATAAGGACTAAAATGTATAATAGGTAATGTGAAATAGGAAGAAAAGGGGCAAAGGGGAAGGGGAAGTGGGAGGGCTACGGGAAAGGAAAGAAGGGAATGGGATTAATATGAGAAAATGGAAAAATAGGAACAAAATCTTTGTAAATAGGGAGGAATGGAGGGGTTGAAGGGAGGGCTGGGCAAGGGTGAAAAATAAGAACCAAGAGAGACTATGGAAAGGTGCAAATTTCCAATGATGAATGTCATTATATTGTATACCTAAAATGTACCAATGATTAGAAGGAATAATCGATAATGCAAAATAGGAAGAAAAGGTCCAAAGGGTAGGGGTAGTGGGAGGGGCAGGGGAAAGGAAAGAAGGGAAAGGAAAAATGAAGAGAAATGGAAAAAATGGTAATAAAGTCTTTGTAAATAGGGAAGGGTGGAGGGGGTGAAGGGAGGGCTAGGAATAGGGAAAAAATAAGAACCAAGATGCATTATGTAAAGGTACAATTCCCAATGAGAAATGTAATTGTGTTGTATACCTACAATGTACCAATAAAAGAATTTAATTAAAAAAAAATAATAATAAAAAACCCCATAAAATTATGATTCCTATGTTAAGGAAATTATTATGGTTTAGATCTAAAATAGCCACCAAAAGACTCTTGTATTCAGAGGTAGAGCTTTTGGAAGGTGATTGGATCATGGAAGCACTATATTCATCAGTGGATTAATTCACTGATAAATTCATAGATGAATGTGCTTTTAGGAGGTGGAACCTGGTAGAAAGAGGTGGGTCACTGGGGACATAACCTGGAAAGGTATATTCTCTTTTTTTTTTTTTGGTACCAGGGATTGAATGGAAAGGAAAGGTATATTCTTGTCCCTGGCTCTTCCCTTCTCCCACTCTCCTCTCTCCTCTCTCCCCTCTCCTTTCTCCCCCTCTCCCCTCTCCCCTGTTCTCTCTCTCTCTCTCTCTCTCTCTCTCTCTCTCTCTCTCTCTCTCTCTCTCTCTCTGGGTCCCTCTCTGCTCCTTGGCTGCCACAAGGGTGAACAGCTATCCTTTGCCAGGCCTTTCCATCATACTGCTTCTGCCTTTCTGTCTTGGAGCCAGCTGACTGTAGACTGACCCCTTTGAAACCATGAGCCAAAGTAAACCTCTCCTCCTTTAAGTTGAAAGTGTCAGGTATTTTGTTCCAGAGATGGGAAAGCTGACTAATACAGGAAGCTGCTGGTCTTGGCTTTTCCATCTTCCAATGATGTTATGTGGAAAAATTCTGGAAATACATGCCCATGATGTGGGGGATCCTTAAATACATGGAACTGTCCAATCCACCCATTCCCTACTTTTTGTTTCATGATAGAAAATGAAATATTAGCTAAACAGGTACATGATGAGAACTAAGAGAGCAGATGTGGATCTTCCTCTAACCAAAAACACAGAGACTCTGATTTCTAATTCTGACCCTGCCACTAACTTGCTAATTGAGCTTGGAGCAGGGAGTTACTACATAGAAGAACATGGAAGGCAATACACTTTTCTCTCTGGGCCTCAATTTCACCCACAAGAGCAAGGGATAGGGCTGGGAGTATATCTCAGTGGTAGAGTGCTTGCTTAGCATGCACAAGTCCCTGGGTTCAATCCCCAGCACCACAATAAATAAATAAATTGCAGGGGGACAGACTAAACCACGTCAGTTCTCATTCTGGGATTCCAGGATTCCCATGCCCTCTAACTAATTTATGGCTTTTCCAGATCCTTTTAGCCAAAGATAAGTTAGAAATGACAATTGAGGTACCACAGAAGCAAATGGGAGGAGATGCCACACTTTGTTTTGACTTATGCATACTCTAACAGCAAGCTAAGCCCTGGCTTCATAGATCTTGGAAGAATGGTTTCTTGAGTCCTATAACCCAAAGTTCTTTACTTCCATGGGAAGAAAGGCCTGATAAGGCCTTTAATAAAAGGCCCCCTTGCTGAGATGTAGCATCTGCTAGTCAGAGATGTGGCAGCTTGATTAAAGTGGAACTGAACCATTAGAGACATCAAAAACCTGAGTCAGGGTGTGTCATGAGGTATATACTGCTACATCAAGCCCTGGTAACCACTATCAGATGTTAGAAATGGAAATGGTTTGATTAGACTGTCAAATGCACTTCTACCTGTCAGAGTAAGAAAAACACATGCTAAAAACTGATTTGGAAAATAACAATCATTGTTTTGTAACCTAAAGGCTTAATTAGAAGTTAATGGAATTGCTTGTTCCTTCCACGCACCTCACTCCAGACAGTTGCAAGTATGCTGAGCACCAACTGTGATGAATTTCAATGTGTACTGTTTCTTGAAGCAGTATCCTGCCAGGCTGGCCTATATGATAACAAAATCTCAAATCTTGTTATTTAGAAGAACAAGAAACAGATTTCTGGGACATTCCCACTCTTCTAAAAGCTGCAGAGACCAGTTGGAAAAATCTAAAACAGCAGCCAAGGGCAGAAAAGAATTTAATCTCCACCCTGCCTTGGGTTTTTCTCTTAGCAGCATAAGTGATATGCAAGGCCCACCTAGAAAAAGTAACATGGAACAAAGATAATGAGAGCTAGTCAGAGGGCAAAGAATGCTTATTCTACCCATGAGTGATTTTCCATATTAAAATGCTGTCTGCCTTTATAAAAAGCTATGAGTTCTTCAATTTCTCACATAATTCATTCCTGCCAGCTGGTACGCAAAACAAAGACAAGACGAGGAACAGTATTATCATGATAGATAATTCTATATTGACATTTTCCCTTAGCACAGTACACAGTTTTCAGTTAGGCAAATGATGTAAGACAAAGAGACTCCAAATATTAATTTAAGAACCCTGTTCTGAAACTTACCACAGATTGTGAGGCCTTTGGAGGGAGAAGTTTTTATATGAGTGAAATTCAGCTTTTGCTTCAGGAATTTCTTGGTTTCAAATAGCACCTCTAAGACATAATAAGCATGAAGTATCTGTGAGGGGGAAGCAGAGGAAACAGATATAACGAACTAGGAAGAGTCATGACTGCATAGAAAACTCTAAAAGTGAAGCATGTGAGCATATTTTAAGACACAATATTTAAGGATAATCTCTAAATTTTTCTCAAATAGAATATTCTAATACAGTAACTGGCATATAAAAAATCCTCCGTAGATATTTGTAATTGAATGAATGAATGGTTCTTAAGATGTTTATACTCTCATGTTCTTCATTGACATCATTCATTTGCAGAACATTTCTGATTATTCTTGGTCCTTAGAGCCCAAGAAAAGTGACAATAGATAAGATTCACTTGTCCTAAGAAAATGTCCAGACAAAATAAGGAGATGAAAAAAGAAGACAGAGAACGAGAGGTGTTGTTTTGTTTTTATTGGGATGTCTTGCCACCTGGAATGGAAAGTAGGTGTTGTTGGGCTCAGAGGTCTCACACGGCAGCCAGACAAGATCCCAAGAAGCTCCTGAGTCCAGCCTCCCAGGTGTGGCTCCAATATTTGATGTATAGTCATGCGAATGCTCAGAACAGCAAACATATTTATATAAAAGTCTAACTACAACATGTATCCCAAACCCAAATAAAGCACTTCAATTATCTCCTATTTATGACTATCTCATTCCTCTCCTCAAATTATAGTGTTGATGAGATCATTGTTTTGTAAAGATTTACTATTTTCACCCTTGGTTTTTTTTCTTAAAGACAATGTGTCTTTCTCCTCCTTTTAAAATTATAAAATATTCCAAATACATAGTCCCAAAATATAATATAGCAACAATGATATTACTACACAAATGTAACAGATGTCAACAAAACTTTAAGGTTCAGGAATATTTAGAACTATGCTCTCCAATTTGGCAGCCACTAGCCACATGGGGCTGTTGGGCACTTGGAATGTGACTAGTCTCAACTGAGTTGTGCTATAAGTACAAAATCTATGCTGGATTTCCAAGACTTACTATGAAGAATAAAAGTAAAATGTCTAGTAAATTTGATATGATTACATATTGAAACAATATTTTATACACTGAATTACATAAAGTACCTTAAAGTTGATTTGACTGGTTTTCTTTTGCATCTTTTTAATGTGACTATTATAAATTTCTAAATATATGGCTCAAATTGTCTTTCTATTGTTCCCAAGCTGGTTTGAATTATTGAAGGCTGAGAGAGTAGGTCTTATCTACATATCTTTCAGACACTGCTCTGGGTATCAGATTAAGGGCAGGTGAAACCCATTGGACCAAAGAGAGATCGACATATTCAATGTAATTCTTATCAAAATCTCAACGTTTTGGCAGAAATGAAAAATAAATTGATTTTTAAGTTCATTGTAAGGGGCCTTAAGCTGCCAAACAACATTGAAAAGGAAGAACAAAGTTGCAGGACTGACACTTCCCTATTTCAAAACGTGTGGTACTGGCATGAAGTTGGACACATAGACCAATGGAATAAAACTGAGAGTCCAGAAAAAAACCCATATATCTATGAAGTACTGATTTTGAACAAGAATGCCAAGACCACCCAATGGGGAAAGAACAGTCTCTTTAACAAATGGTGCCGGGGAAACTGCATATCCATGTGCAAAGAATGAAGTTTGACCCTTATCTCATACTATATATAGAAACTACCTCAAAGTGGTTCATAGACCTAAATGTAAAGGCTAAAACTACAAAACTTTTAAGAGAAAATACAGGCATAAATCTTCATGATTATGGATTTGCAACAGATTCTTAGATATTATGCCAAAACACAAGCAACCAAAAGGGGAGAAACGGATAAAATGGACTTCATCAAAATTTAAAACTTTTGTGCACCAAACTACATTATCAGAAAATGAAAATACAACTTACAGAATGGGAACAAATATTTGCAAATCATGTATTTGGTAAGGAACTTATATTCTAAAAGAACTCTTATAACTCAATAATAAAGAGATAACCTGATTTTAAAATGGGCAAAGGATCTACATAGACATTTCTCCAAAGAAAATATACAAATGGCCAATAAATACATGAAAAGATGCTCAACATCATAGTCATTAGGAAAAGCCACATCAAAACCATAATGAGATACCACATTGCACTGTAATAAAAATTAAAATACAAACAAAAACAAAATAACAGTGATGCCGCCACCACCTTGAAAGTGCAAGGTTCTGAGTTTGATTCCCGGTACCAAAACAACAACAAAAAACAACAACAAAAAATAGCAAGTGTTGGCAAAAACATGGAGCAATTGGAACCCTCATACATTGTTAGTGGGAATGTAAAATTGTTCAGTTACTGTGGAAAACAGTTTAGCAGTTAATAAAAAAATTAAACATAGAATTAACATATGAACCCACAATTCCACTTCACGGTATATATCCAAAAGTGAGGACATGTTCATACAAAAATGTGTACATGAATGTGCATAGCAGCATTCTTCATAATAGCCAAAAGGTGGATACAATCCAAATGTCCATCCACTGATAAACAGGTAAACAGTATGTGGTGTACAATAGGATATTATTCAGCCATAAAAGTAGTAATGAAATAATGTTATATACTATGACATGGATGAACCTTTAAAAAACTATAGAAAGTGAAAGAAGCTAAATGCAAAAGGCCATATACTATACAATTTCATTGATGTGAAATATATAGAATAGGCAAATCCATAGTGACAGAAAGTAGAACAGTGGTTGCCTGGGATAGGAGAGGAGGGAATGGTAAATGGGTATAGCCTTTCTTTTGTGGATGATGAAAATGTTCTATAATTAGATATTGGTGGTGACTGTTCAATCTTGTGGGTATACTAAAAATCACCAAGCAGTGTACCTTAAAATGGTAAAATTTTGGTATATGAATCATATCTTAGAAAATGAAAAAGGAAATGCTGTGCACCTGAAGAGACTTCCTATTTCATAGGTTTTTAAAAAGCAAAAGGTAACTTTCATATAACATGAAATATTTTCCCAAGGAAATACATTTCTGCTGTAATCTTTTCATTTACTCACTCACTCATTTATTCATTCAATAGACAGCCACTGAGCACCTGTTATGTACAAGAATTGGGGCAAATTCTGCTTCTACTTGCCTTTTGATGCTTGAAGGCCTCAACAAGTAAAACAATATCCGTGAAAGTGAGAGGAAATTGCAGCCGCGGACCATCATAGGAATCTGGGACCTCTATCAACCCCATATAGTCCTGTCTATCCTTGGTGCTTTTGCGAAGCTGACATGATAATTCTGGAAAAAGAAAGACAGAAAGGATGATGGGGAATACATTCTCATATTTAAACTTAATAAAGATCTTTTAATGCCTAACCCATGTATGGCACTGTGCTAAATGTTATGAATACCAAGACATCCCACATATAACCATGAGGAATGATTGATTCTGAAACCACCAGGTACATGGAGTATCTTCATTCCTTCCTTGGATGATGTTTTGTCAAAGTAGTGAATCCATAATCAGTGGAGAGAAGGAAAGACACAGTGAAAACTGGTCAGTCAAGGTATTTTATTTAATGCTCTGAATTTCTAGCTCTAAATTTTTGCCTACTCTTATATCTTAGGTCTTTATGAATAGGGATAAAAACATAATAATGCATTGTATTTAGTACAAACACCTGCTGCTCTTCAAGAACTACAGAAAATTAAACTGCAACATATAATTTTTCCCAGGTTAAACACTTCAAAGGATATTACTTAGTTGTAATCAATTTGTTTCTCTCTTCATATAAAAATTAATTTTTTGGCATGATTTTCTTTTTTTCTTGGTAACAAAGTAGATAAAGTGGCAAACCATAGGCAGAAAAACCAAAAGCGCTCACTCTCTCTCCCTCTTTCTCTCTCTCTCTCTGTCTGTCTCTCTCTTTCTCTCTGTGTCTCTCAACATTACTGTATAGTAACAGATTCCTTACATTGCCCATTTTAATAGGTTCTGAGATCCACAGTCATTTCTTGCTAGACGGACCATAAAATAGTCCCAAACCAGAAATCCAGACAATTCGGACAGAGAAAGATGAAAAGGGATATATATGGTAGACTGATTGTAAAAGTCACTTCAATTCTCTACCCCAACATCTACCCATGATTTGTAGATGTGATTTCATAGCTGCTCTTATCAAGGGTCTATTTTTCTATCCCTTCAAGCAGGTCTGGGCCTATGATTTGTATTGGCTTGAAGAACATGGTAGAAATGATACCCACCAGCTCCAAGTCCAGGTCTCAGAAGGCCTTGTATATGTCCATGCTCTCTTTTGGAACCCCAAGCTTAGGGTAGCCAAGTGAAAGGTCCAAAACCATGTGGGGCAGAGATGAATCATCCTGGCCATGGCTGTCCTAGATCAGCCAACAGTCAGCAGACCTCCACACACATGAGTAGACTCCAGCCAAAACCCTCAAAACTGCCAAAGCAAGTCTGCTAAGATTACAAAAGGTGCTTAGCTAATCTATAGAATTGCTAGAAAAAAGAAATGCTTATTACATCACTGAGTTATTGTGGTTAACACACAGTATTATTTCATTAAGAAATATCCCAGGGAATAATGACAAACTGTTCAACACATTAACACAAACTTACTAAGGTCATTCATCTGAAGTTCTCTACAGTTTTTATCTTTTTTAATAATTTGGAGTGGTCAGATTTGTATGGTATGTTCACAGATGTGGACAGAATACAATTTTTTCATGATCCAGTTATGCTGATAGATTACAGGAAAGAACTAAACTTGAAAATTTTTCTAAAGTTATAATATTTGGTAATTTTACAAACTTTTCTGGGGCCAGGGATTTAGCTCACTGGTTCTGCCCCCTGCCTCACAAGCACAAGGTCCAAGTTTGATCCCCGGTACCAAAAAAAAAAAAAAAAATCTGAACTATTGTGTAACCCAGTATATTTTGGTAATAGTTGATAATGTTTTATAAGAAGTGGAATTTGGGAGTAATAATGTCTGTTTTTAATATGGCCCAGGAGAGGTATTTTTTCTCATCTGGATTTTGTTTGAGATTTAAGAATAACTTAGTTATTTCCATTTATGTTAGGAACTAGAAATGCAGAGCATATTAACAAACTTTATCTCAGATTCATTATGTAGGCAATGAAGCCTAAATAGTCTACTTAGCCATTTCAACGATCATGCCACACATTTCAATTTGGTAGTCATTCTTGGAGATGAATTATGCTCCCAAGATAAAACTTTTATTTTCCTGACTCTATATGCTGAAATATCAAGCAACTCTTCAAGAAAACCAACCCACACCCCCCAAAAAAGCTCTATACCTCATCCATCAGTTTCACTGCATTTTCTAAAAGAGTTGTAAAGATTATTTTCTGTTACAGAATCTAAGAAATAAAATGAATATGGAATTCATGTAGAACTAGGGGATTTTGATTTTTAGATGGGGAGGAATTTTAGGACATGTTTGTAGTATTCATGAGAAAAGTAGTATAGATTTGAAGCATGCCTGACTTAGAAACCCATCTGGTAGGGGGAAAGAGAAAAAGAAGTTGAGGATGTAGATCAGCATATGGAGATGTCCCACCTCATTCCCCTACCAAATCCTCAAAGGCCTGGCAACCTCATTAGTCGTTTGCTCTGTTGCCTATACCTTGAGCATGATTCTCCTCAGATTTGGTAATGTAACTGAATATAGGTGAAGGTTCTATCAATCTAAACGGGACCTCATATCTGCTGATTTCCTGTCTCATCCCCAGTAATCTATTGTTTGACATTTCCTTATTTATTGTTCCTACTGTTTCCTCTCCTTAGACTCCCTTTGTTCTGACTTTGTCTTCTTTGGATAATTTCTACTTATCCTTCAGAACTCAGCAACCCATCCAGGTTGAGCCTCAAAACTCACCTTGTCCATGACATCACAATGATGATGATGATGGTGGTGACAAGAGCTCCCACTTACTGAATGTTTACTATGTGCCAGGCACTGTTCTAAGCTCTTTATATGCATGTAAGGATCACAACTACTCTATGAGATAAATATTGTTATTTCCTTATTTTTTACATGAGTGGAGCACAGTGGAAAGATGGAACCAAATGCCAGACAAGATGGCTCTGAGCTCAAACTCTTAACCATTTTACTTTTACTATATATTTAAAAATATATTTATCTTATATAATATATAATACTATTTACACACTTATAATTGATTTATTGAGTATAAATAAGAGATTATTTCATTTTCCCAATCACTGCTCTCACCCATCCTCTGTCCTCTCTCCTTTTCCCATTGGCTAACTGATATAACAAGCTAATTCCATCACTTCTAGTGATTAAAACTCAGTATTATTGTTTAAGCCCTAAATATAAGTTTATTGTTTTTCTTTTTAAAAAATAAGCTCAGTTTGGTCCTTCCTTCCATACACTTGATAACCCCCTTCCTTAAAAAGTTCAGTGATCAACATATGAAACAGCAGCATTTCTCTAAGCTAATTCTTAGTTAAAACTACTCAAAAGGCATATCAATTAACATCAAATCATTATTCTTTTGCTAGTTTTTAGCAACATAAAAAAGAACAACATAGATTCTCTTCCAATAGCTGTTTGTCATGTATGAAAACAATCAAAAGCTTTAATACTCCTAATGCACATACTGTCCTTGCAAGCTATAAACATTTTAACTAATAATATGTCAATGAATGTCAACAATATATGAAGATTTGTGCTGTATAATTAGAATTAGTCCTTAGCTGTTTGATTTAGAGTTTTATCAACACGAAACTAAACTAATAAAATCTTGAATTATAACCTTGAAATCTTGAAATAATACCTTTACAACTTGTTCTAAAGAAAATACCGCAAAAATACCACCCACACAGTCTTTTCTTTTACTCAATAGGTACTCAAAATCTAGACAGGGAAAATTTTAAAGCGCATAATTAAACAAAGAAAAACAATTTATGCCTCTGCTACCTGCATATCACTTTGAAAACTAGCTCTAGATATTGCTGGAAAAAGAAAAGCACCAAATGAAACACATTTAAAGTTATTTTACTTCTCAATTATGAATACAGATTAAAACCTTAATGTCTATATAATAAATTCAATAGGTAACAAAATGACATTTCACAAAATTCAATACTTAGATTACTGATTCTTTAAAAACTCAAATAATTAGGAATAGAAGGAAACTTCCTTAGCATAATTTTAAAAATTTAAATAAATAATTTTTTTCCATTAAATCATCAACAAAACAAAGATGCCCATTTTGCTGTCTCATTGCCAACCAAGGCAATAAGGCATGAAGCTTAAATAAGAGCAGTAATTAGAAACCACCAACAGAGTGAAGAAACAACCCACAATATATATAAAGAACTCAAAAAAATCAGACCCCTCAAATTTAAAGACCCAATCCAAAAGTGGGCAGCAGAAATGAATAGACATTTCTCAGGCGAAGAAGAAGAAACAGCAAACAAACATATGAAAAAATGTTCAACATCACTGGTCATTCGTGAGATGCAAATGAAAACAATGCTGAGATTCCACCTCACCCCAGAAAGAATGGCTGCTATCATGAAATCAACCAATAACAAATGCTGGAGGGGTTGTGGGGAAAAAGGAACCCTGCTCCACTGTTGGTGGGAGTGTAGGCTGGTGCAAGCACTGTGGAAATCAGTGTGGAGATTCCCAAAAAAACTAAAACTAGAGGTTCTGTTTGACCCAGCTATACCCCTTCTTGGTATCTTCCCAAAAGAATTAAAAGTATCATACCACAGTGATATATGCACATCCATGTTTATAGTGGCACAGTTTGTAATAGCTAATGCTTGGAAACAGCCCAAATGCCCATAAACCAGTGATTGAAAAAAGAAGATGTGGGTTTTTTTTTTATAAAATGGAGTACTATTCAGCCATAAAAAGATAAACTAGAGTCATTTGTAGCTAAATGCATGCACCTTGAGACCATACTATTAAGTGAAATAAATAGGACACGTGTGTAAATACCGAATTGTTTCTCTGGTGTGATAAACAAAGTATAAATGAGGACTAAAATGTATAATAGATATTGTGAAATAGTAAGAAACTATTCAAAGGGAAAGGGGAACTAGGGAGTAGGGGCAGGAGAAAGGAAAGAAAGGAAGAAAAAATGAGAAAAGAAGGAAATAATGGAAACAAAGCTTTTGTAAATAGGAAGGGGTGGAGCTCTGGAAGGGAGGGAAGGGGAATGGGAAAAAAAATAAGAACCAAGATATATCATGTACAAGTGCAGATTTCCTATAATGAATGTGATCATAATGTATACCTAACTTGTACCAATAAACTCAATGAATAAAAAAAATAAAGGTACTTGTGGCCAATGTGATTACTATACTCAAGAAAATCAACTGAAAAACTCCAAGAATTGACAGAAGAATGAAATATAATACAATGTTAGTCACACTGGCTCCAATCACAGCTTTACCAATGCTGAGATGAAGAACCTTGGGAGATTACCCTCTAAGCCTCAGACTTTGCATTTACAAAAGGGGAACAATAATAGAAATAACCTCATGGGTTTGTCATGAAGACTAAATGAAATGATGTATTTAAAGTGCTTAAAAACATGGCACATGATAAACATTTAACAAAAAGCAGCAATAATTTTCATTAATATTCAATTGAATTCTATTCAGTAGAAGTACAAAATAAGATAAATAAACATCAGTTAAAAGCTTTTCAAAATATTACCAATAGCCAGTAGGAAGATATCACAAGAAAACTATCCTACTAACAGAGCAATAAAACATAAAACAATATCCCAGCACTGCAAAAGATAAAAATAAATAAATTTTATATATAAAATCCTTCAGGATATTTTGGCTGATATAGGAAACAAAGAAAAGTAAAAACAACACCTGCACATGCCCCATCCCACTCCCACTGTAAGTCTCTGTTTAACTTATTTCTCGATATGGCAATTTGGGCTTTCTGCCTTGGAAGAGGTTAATGTAAAAAGCAGACTGGGAAAGTTTATGTGAAACCACTCCTCTGGTTTTAAAGTGACATAACTGATCCTCACAAAAGAGATGGTGAGATTGCAAGGACAAGTAGTACTGCTTTCAGGTTACCTCTCAAATTCGGAACACTCACAATGTCTCAAGATGCTCTGTGCCTCAGAATTCCATCCATTCATTTGCTTCAGTATCTGGGAACAGTAAAAACCTTCTTTCACCTAAAATACCCTACTTAGGGATCTCAGCATTTCAGTTAAACAGATCTAGGTAGGGGTTATCTGGAATCCTCCCATCAAAGAGAGCATTAGAAATCAACCAATGGCAATAAGAAGTTAAAGAAGCCAGACTCATAATGTATACAGCTGGGCTCAGTGGCACATGCCTGTCATCCCAGCCCTTGGGAGGCTGAGGCAGGAGGATTGCTTTAAGTTTGAGGCCAGGCTGGGCTACATAACAAGCTCAAGACCAGCCTGAACTACATTGGGTAACCCTGTCTCAAAAAATGAGCAAAAAAAGAATATATCTGTTTCCATTTATATAAAGAAGCTCAAAAACAGGCAACAGTAATCTAGGATGTAGAAGTTCAGAAAGTAGTTATGGGCTAGAGTGGGGGCCAGGTAGTAACTAGAAGAGGGCAGGAAGGGTTCTCTACGACTTTGATAGTGTTTCTTTTCTTGTTCTGGGTGCCTGTGTTTTCTTTGAGAAAATTTATTGAGTCATATGATTTGTATAGTTCCCTGTAAAGTATGTTATACTTCAAGAAAATCACTATTCCCTTTGTAAAATAGGAAGAAAAGGTCCAAAGGGGTAGGGGTAGTGGGAGGGGCAGGGGAAAGGAAAGAAGGGAAAGGAAAAATGATGAGAAATGGAAA